CCTCAAGTTGATTTTCAACTTCGGCTTTATATGTCTTAAACATATTCAAAGCTTCATCCTTGCTACGAATCAAATAAACATAGCAATACTTACTGTAATCATCAATAAAAGTGACATAATAATTCTTTCCTCCACGAGTTGGTGTGGATTCAAAGTCACAAAGATCACTATGAATTAATCTAAGTAATTCATTTGATCTTTCCAGAATTGACTTTCTCATTGGCCTAGCAAATTTCGATTCAGTACATATTTCACACTTATGATTAAAATCAATTTCGAATTTAGGTAATAATTCTAATTTAACCATTCTTTGCATGGAACGAAAATTAACATGTCCTAATCTAGCATGACAAATATTAGCAGACTCAACAATATAAGCATAAACATTTATTTTATTAGCATCATCAATGGCAATTACATTGAGTTTCACGAGGCCATCAACCACATAACCCTTTCCAACAAACATCCCACCCTTGGTAAGTACAAATTTGTTGGATTCCATTACAAGTTTAAAGCCCTTAGCAATCATAATAGGTCCAGAAACCAAGTTCCTCCTCATTTCAGGAACATGCAGCACATTCAGCAAGGTGAGACTCTTTTCTGATGTGAATTTGAGCACCATTTTGCCTTTGCCTTCCACCGCAAAGGCAGAATTGCCCATATACAGCTTTTCTCCATAGGCAGCAAGATGGTATTCAGTGAATAGATTTTTGTCAGCACAAATGTGCTTGGTAGCACTAGGATACATCAACCATTCACTCCCATTTGAGACCATGTTGACCTCGGACATAATAAAAGCCAATTCTTCATTGGTGGTTGCCATGTTAGCATGGTTGTTGTTGTTTTCGTTGGCATGATTTCCATCCTTGCGATAACAATCTTGTGCCTTGTGACCAGATTTGCCACACATAGCATGCACCCTTAATCTTCTTCAGATTCTTACCTTTTGGAGCAAGGGCAGATTGTTCAAAATGGTTGGTTTTCAAAGTCTTATTCTTCTTCGGCTTGGCCTTGGAGTTTCCTCCCTCAACATAATTTGCATTGGCTTCAATGGCAGCAAACCCTCCAGAACGGTCTGCCTTTCTGTGGTCTTCTTCCACTCGTAGCCTCAGAATCAAATCCTCCATATTCATCTCACGACGCTTGTGCTTGAGATAAATTTTGAAGTCATTCTAGGAAGTTGGCAACTTTTCGATTATCGCCCCAACTTGGAAATGCTCATTGATCTCGCATCCCTCGGAGTACTGTTCATAGATCAATTTCTAGATTTCTTCGACCTGAGAGACAATAGATTTTGAATCCACCATTGTATCTTTGAGAAACTTACTGATAACAAATTTCTTTGAACCGGCATTATCAATCTTATACTTTTTCTCTAGGGATTCCCACAACTCCTTCGCTATCTTGCATAGAGAATAAATGTTGTAGAGATTGTCATCCAAACTATTTAGAATATAATTCCTGCAACAAAACTCACAATGATTCCAAGCTTCAATTGCCATGATAGTCTCTTTCGTCATTAGATTCTCATTAGACTTTGGAGCTTCTTCCTTGACAACACGAGAGAGATTCATGGTTGTCAGGAAAAACAACATCTTCTGTTGCCATCTCTTGAAGTCCAGCCCTTTGAACTTCTCATGCTTTTCAGAGTATTTTGGCACAGCGCCATTCACAATCACAGATTGTTGATCCATGTTTCTGTTTCAAGATTGTTGGTTATATGTCAACAATCTATGATAAAATTATATATGCTAATAAATAATAAATGCAAATAGGAAATTAACAGAGTATGAACAATGAAATAATATTGAATAGAAATATTGAAGATCGAGGCTTGCGTATCGCAATGTCTTTGAAACAGAAATTTCGTCGCTACTCAGTGCTTGTAGTTCTACAGACATCTGCTTCACCAGGATTCAACGATCAAGTCAGAATTCCAGCACCGGAAAAATTGACTTTTGGCGAATTTCTATGTGGTTCTCTCAGTAAGGATGTTTTGGATTATAAAAGAAGAATTGTTTGTTTTGTATATTAAATGACATGCAGATGGATGTATATATAATATGATTATGCCTATTTGCAATAGGTATGAGGAAGGGAGGCATCTGTTGGGAGACATCTTCTCAGATGGGTGTTTTTTTTCTGCGTTTTTTCACTCTTCAGACTTCATCTGAAAAGATGAGTTTGTTGGTAAAAAATAATTAATTAATTTAATTATTAGAGCCCAAGGCCTAAGGCCTAAGGCCCATTTTTTATAATTAATTATATATTAATTACCAATTAATTAGTACACCCCAAAGCCCAACTCTAAGGGTGAGCCCAATTTTAGTCTCCAAGGCCTATCACTCCAATCACTTTCTATAAGGTACAAAGCTTTATAAAGTGAGGAAATCTTTTGGGAATGGCCAATGTGAGACAAAGAAATTTCTACTCAAAATTTCCAACAATAAGCAACTTGGAAAACTGGAGCAGCAACATGGAAAACTCCAATGCATCCGTTAATGGCCGTATTGAAACTTTCAGGGTTCTCAATATCCACCTCGAAATGTTTTTGCCTATTTATTGCTCCCAGTTGATTTATGAGGAAGTTTAGGCCATCTCCAACCAATTCAGCCAGAGGACCATAGGGTCGAAAATAGCCCGAAATGACACGAAAACCGTCTCCAACCAAAGGTTAGACCAAAGAGCTTGTGGGCCCCACCATGCCAAAACCAGCCAATCAGGCCAGCGGGCTAGCGATCTCCAACCAGCTAGCTAGCCCAACGAACCATCCTTTTTTTTTTTGGAGGATTTTTTTTTGCCCTACCCACTTTTTTCTTTTTTTTTTTTTTTTTAATTTCTAATTTTTTTTCCTACACCATTTCTCACATACTTTTCACCATTCCATACTATTTTATCTCATTTTATTTCAATTCTTCATATTCCATTCTATTGCCCTTTGACCCCTTCGGTTGAAGATGGTTTTTTGTTATAGGACTATATTTGGCCTATGTCCCTTTAGCCCCCTCGGTTGGAGATGGTATGAAATATGACCTGGCACGTTGGCACTGTTCATTAAAATATTAATTTTTTGGGAAGCTATAGGGCTAAAATGGGTAATATGGTTGTTAGAAGAAGGAATCAAAAGTGTCATGATTTTCATTTTGTGCACACACACATATTAAGTGGTTTTGGGTAAGAGACAAAAGAAAAGGGTAAATACTTCATTAGAATTGAGCCAAAATTGAGTGCGTTATATGTGAAGCAAAACAACAGAAAATATGTGAAGATTGGCCTTTTCCTTTAGCGGCATATACCAAGAACTGTTTCATCAATTCATAGATTATGTGTGGATAGCACCACCCAATATCAGTGTTTAAAATTTCTACAAAACGGTTAATATTTCCATAGAAATATCCAAAACATCAGAGAAAGATATGGAGATGGGGGTGAAGTCTAAACTTCATCTTATATCAGAGAAACTCTTAAATTCAGGCTAAAATCGACGCATACCGTCGATATTTCTGAAACATTTGTTAAATATCGGAGAAATTCTTATATTTCGTCCAAACCAATGTTTGACAACTTTTAAAGTTTCATTTTAAATTTCCATAATTTTCATTGAAAGCAACAGATAACGATATCGATATTCGATATGTTCGTCGATATTTTCACAAATTTGCATATGGATATTTTTTATTTTAAGCACTGCCCAATATATATAGAAAAATAACTCACACACCCATTTTATCCTCTTCCACTTCTTTGTTTTTGTCTTATCCCATTTTTAGCCTCTACATGTCTTGGTTTTTGTTTGATTTATTCAATCCAGTAGACAAAAATAAAAATGATGCGTGAGAAGCTAAAAAAATTTATGAAAATCATCTCCATATAATTTATATATATATAATAGGGCTGGTATTTTTTTTAACCGAATACCAAAATGAAACCAAAATTTAAAAAAAGGGCTAGTATTTTAGGAAAACTAATGAAAAAAACTTGAAAACTTTGAGTTTTAACGATAAATACAAAATAAAGGGTAAAGTGAATAGTATCAAGATTGACTTTTTAGTGTAAAAATGTGATTTTTCGTTAAAGTAAACAGTACCGAAAGCTTTTCGTTAAAGTTTCTTAGTATTTTTTTAACCCAATACCAAAACGAACCAAAAATTTAAAAACCGAAATCGAAGATTATCAAACTTTTCGGTTTAGTTTTCGTAAGAGAACCTGGTAGGTTAGCCAACATATCGAAACCAAACCGAAATTTATTATTAGCATTATAAAATATATAATATATTAATGTATATTTTATTTTTGGGTTGTAACTTATTATTTCAATTTGGGATGTAACTTTTTAATTTCGCTAGATCTCTCAACGTCACGTAAATATGGGCTAAATTGGGAGAGACGAAAAAGTTCGGCCTAACAAACAAAGTCCAATCCAGTTTTTCGGTTTACCAGACCAAACATAAGCCGATCCAATTTCTCGGTTTACGAAAAAATTTGGATTTGATTTTGTAGTTAACCAAAGTCAAATCCAAATTAGGCTTAAGTCATGACAATTTGACCAAAAGAAATGAAAAGTGATTATTACAACTTAAGAACTATGTAAAACTTAAGATATCAAAGTTTTCCCATAACCTAATTCATCACCCAAAGATACTAGGAATGAAGACTTAAATTTTAGCGTTTAATTCTGTTTACTTTAACAAAAGATTCAAGAAATCAAGTGACAACTTGATATTCTTTGATTCAGTTGAATCAAAGTAGCGTGTAGTGAAGGTGTTGGAATCTTCTTTGTTATGAACTTTGGGGTTAGGGTTTTGATGAACAAGTCACATTCCCCGTAATTTTTGAACGATTCCCATGCAACTCGAGCTAAAACCATAAGCATGTCTACAAGTAATTCCTAATATATGGCAGAGAAGGTTTCAGAAATACGGAGACTGAAGAATGAGGCCCAGAAGTGGAAGAAGTTCTATTACGCTATGGTGTAATGCCAGAAACCTTGACCAAGAGTGTAACGCCAGAAACCTCCGTGTATAAGATACCGAATATCAATCAATATACATGAAAAAAAAAAAAATCAGTTTGACGTTAGATTTTTCCCACGCATATCACATTTGATTGGGTTCTGTAATTTCAATGAATGGTACAACAAACCTAAGGAGGAACATCATCAACCCACCACATCAAAGTTCCATCTCCCTTATGTTACAGTTCCCAAATTGCCCACTACATATTTAGCACATACAATAAACATCAGTCAAGTCATATGCCATTCCCACTTCTCCGCAACACCGCAACCCATAACCGCTCTTCTCAGTTCGCCTCTTGATAACGAGCCCTCTCTCTCTCTCTCTCTCTCTCTAACTGTTCGCTTACAAGAAGACGCCCATGGGAACAAAAAGTTATGAGCCACAGTTTGTCGCAAGCCGGTTGATTAGTTATAACTGCAAAGCATGCTGGTTGTGGATGTTCCTTCTCTCTATTGTTACACGGAAAAGTGTTGTGACATGTCGAACATATTAGAACTCTTGGGAATCAAACTCCGGCTTAGATGGATACTCAAGACCCTGAAGTGCTGGTATCCGCCGTAAATCTTCATCCGAGTAAGCGGGGATGAACCAGTATCGTTTGTCTGTCCCAAACACCTGGTATGCAAATAGCAGAATTTCCAGTTGTATGAGTACACACTGACAATTACTACTACTATTAAAACCACGATCACAAAGATAGTAGATTGAAGACAATTTCAAACGGTATTGTTCACGAAAAATATCCTGTCAGGAGTTCAAATCCGGGCAGGATAAAACAGAAATTAATTTAACTTGCCCATTGCTGGACTCAACCTACCCATGTACTAACATAACAATTGTTTTGAAAAAGACCTTGATGACCCTTTGTTTAATCGGGAAGTAAATTAGTTGAATAAAATGTAAGATGTAGTGCATATGCCATTACTATCAATGCTACACCGCATTATTCATGATACATCCACATACCAAGGAAACTATCAGTATAATATTCTTCTAAGAGTATAAATAATCTGCAAACTAAGGGAAAACTTAAGGCCTGTTTGGTATTCAATTTGAATTCAATTTTTTTAACACAAACAGTTTTTGAATCCTTAAGCCGACAATTCTTGTTTGGTAGGACATTTTGAAAAACTGAACTCCAAACCAACTTGAAAACGTAGCTTACTTCATGAAAACATAAAGTCTGTTTTTAGAATTTATAAGATTAAAAGCCCACTCTTCTTTCCTCCCTCTTCAGATCCTCTTTTCTCCATCTCACTCTCTCTCCTATGTCTTCTCTCTCTCTCTCTCTCTCTCTCTCTCTCTCTCTCGTCTATCTTATCTCTCTTCCTCTCTCTCCCGGATCTCTTCCAATCTTCTCTGTCCCTCTCTAGGTCCTCTGCCTTGGGCACCAGTAGAAATGAGGAAATTCCCTACGTCAGCTCCAGCAGGAAGTTGCTGGCCTATTTTTTGTTAAATTTTTATAACTTGAAAACAAATTTGTCTCATACCAAACAAGTTTTGGTACAAAAAACTGTTCTTAAGAGATGGTCTTAAGAAATATTTTTGAAAATTACGAATTTTTTTAGTAGGATACCAAACAGGCACTAATGAATTTACGTGTTTAGCTGTCTGTTGCAGAGAATTGTGTTCTGAGGCTTCAACAAAATGCCAAATAATTCCGGGCTCAATGATCTCTACTATTCTATACTATTATAGAACATCAAAACTTTCATTCCTCCTGAAGCAAATGTTAACTTTGGAATTTTAACTTGAGTTCAAAACCAACTACAAATGCAGCATGTTGGTTATTTTTAAAATATGCACTTAAGAAAACAAAGGAAGTATAATGATGTATCGCAAATTTTACCAACCTGTTCAAAATTCTTTTTTCGACCAAGGTCATAGCGCCATTTAGGAGAGGTTTTCTTTTCATATGCCTGATCACAAAGAAAATTTTCATCAGCACGTAATTCCACACCGAAACTCCTTTCCCCTAGGGAAGGCCATTATATTAAAACCCCAAACAGAAGATACTGAGCAATGGAGTTACTTATATGTTTGTATGAAAAAGCCTAATCCGTGAGTTACTACTAGATTTTCCACATTGCTCATGGCCAAGTTACTAAAAGGCGCTAGGCGCTAGTTAGGTGGAGGGCAGGGGCCTAGGCAGCTTTTTAATTTTAATTAATTTATTATATAACATATAAGCAAATGTCTACTTATACTTTAAAAAATACATAATTGCATTGGAATACATAAATTGCAAAATAGAATGACATAAATTATAAAGTACTGGAACATATTGAAAACATGAGGAACAAGCATATAATGATTGTTCATCCAAGTATCCAACAAGTCTCTAACAATTTATTGAAAAAATAAAATGCAAAATGGAGGTAGTCTATTATCTATCTAAGTGAGAGTTGCGACCTAGGCGGATGGCTAGGCAAGCGCCTAGGCATGTCTAGGCGCCCTTTCTTATTTTTTAAACCCCTAGGGATTAATCATGGTTGTGGCCAGTTGCCTAGTGCCAACACTGCTCATGGCCCAAACATTAAAACAAAGGTGACATAATTTAAAGTTGACAGATGTCAATCTATGGACCTCCAGCAAAATGTGATGTTGCAATCAAGGAAAGCAGCATTCTCCTATAATAGAGGCCATGCAAGGAGCCTGAACTATATATCAAACGCCTAATCTTTCTATAAGAGCCTCACCTCATTGATATCATTAAGATATAAGCACAAGGAAATCCCCAGTTAAATTGTGGACTGAAGCAAAATACATTACCTCAATGGTTGTGGTGTTTGCAGCCACCAATGATATATGCATGACCAGAAAACCCAAAACACTTAATGCAAACGCAAGATTCAAGACTGCGAAGAAAGAAACACTGTTCATTAGTTAATCAGATACCAACCGCTTTGTAGGTAATACCACTAAGAAATGGGTAAATTTAGATAATACCAAAAGCAAGAAAGGTAGTTGCAAGGGTGCTAGGTGTTCCAGGTATTTCTCCCTCGCTAAAGAACAAAATAAAATGTGGCAGCAAGGATAATGCTACAACACTTGTCTCGAGAAATGTGTAAAACTGCATTCAGATTAAAAAAAAGGCATGAAATTAGTCTAAATATAAAATTTATTCAATGGGAATTCTTATTAATTCAGAAATCCCACAAGTAGATAGTTTAGCAAGGTAAAGCAAATCACATGGAAACATGCGCAAGAACCATCTAGCTGACTAACTAGTACTGACCCACAAACATGATTAAAACATACTTTCCAAGTTATCCAGGGAATTTCCTAGAATATAATATGCAATTACTACCAGTACCAACCAGACTGAGAACAAATAACTTATTATCGAAACAAAGAGTGACTGCATTATTTAAGAAGACTGTAAAAGTTTCTTGAATTCTTAAAGCTCAAGAATAAATTACAAATTTTTATTATCGAAACAAAGAGGGACTGCGTTCAGATTTTCTACCAATCTAAAGCTTTTCACTAAAGTCACTGACCTACGCTACAGATCGTTAAAAGCAATAAATTCTCATGCATATCAGAAATTAGCATACTATAATGCTCCACACACACTATTATGTTCCTTCTTTAATAAATTAAATTACAGAATAGCAAGTATTTAGCATTGCCATGCATCAAATCCTACAGTTTTTGATTAAAAATTTTAATGATATAATTTCCATATTGATACGGTATAAGTTAGTAAAGTAGGATAATCATACTATTTGTCTGTGTGTATTAACCCTAAACCATAAAGAAAACTGGATTTAGTTGCAACTCCCTGTCCATAGACTCCATACAAACAAAAATTAAGTTCATCTGTTCAAATTATTTTCTTTGATCAAATTTTGTAACCATCATCTTAGCCTGCAGTCGAAGACCATTTCCTAATTTATGAAACAATATTCACAAGGTTATACTGTTTATAATCCAACAACTATTCCAAAAGTTATACTAGGGAGTTCCTTATTAAGAATATGGTCTTCATGGTGTGATGCATGTGGTATGAGTTATCTACCACAAGGAAAACACAGTTTACCCTTATGGTGGATTCAGAAGACCATCAGTGGTCATGTTAACATTCCATGAAATACTATGGTTCTAAAAGTCACTAGGCAGTAGTGGGGCAGCAGGGACCCGACTCATCCCACCCAGTCACTCTTCCAACCGAACCTTGCAACATTTTTAAAGTGACAGAACCAGTCAGTGACCGCTTAACGCCTAGCCCCCCAACCCCCCCCCCTCCCAAAAAAGTGGCCGCCTAATAGCCTCGCCGATTTCCTAAACGATTTTGAGTTAGTAGTGGTGGTGCTCTGTCACTGAGCGCCTAGGCGCCGCCTGAATTTTTAAGAACACTGGCTGCACATCAGAGTGGTCACCCAATTCTCTCTTTTGGAACAATGAAAACAAGCCCCAACACCCGTAACCTCTAATCAAAATAAAGTTATTGCAACTGCTCCCAACTAGGGCACATGACTTAAATGCAAGTACCTTTATACTACCAGCATGACTATCCCAGATTCATAGTATCACTACTCATAATCATTTATAAGTCTCATAACTTCAGAGAATAAAGCTAAAACGCAATTTTGAATAGTCCTTGGAAACAGGATCATCAAATAAAAATTTGCAGGATAGGATCAGAGAAAACATAAATAAAGTCTAACTCATTCCTCGGTAGTTGGAATAAAGTCTAACTCATTCAAACATAATCTCATGCTGAAAAGTATTTCATCAGCTTACACAGAAAACAAACTTACCAAGAAAAGAAGAAAATACTTGTAATTTAAGGCACCAACACAATTAACAACCCATACACAATGGTGATCCATTTTCAGTACACACCGCCCACCTGAAAGTTGGAATAAAGAATTAATGCTCTGATTTAAAGACAAAGGAATATAACAAAGCAAAATGAAATATCGCTAACATATCTTACTGAAAATAAATAAATAAAAACACTAAAGATATGATGACTCACAAACTGAGCAATGATGGCAACGAGGTGGTTTCAGCTGGTTGCACTTCCGGCAATACCGGATTCTCTGATTAGAGGGGTCAGGCTGCAAACCATTAAAATCCAACCCAGTCAATGGGTCAGCCTCCCCTCTCTCTTCATCCACAGCAGGCCTCCAATTAGGTGGCACACCCCCCGGATCCGTCAAAACAACAGAAAAGTAACTCCATAATAGCATCACCAACTGCAACATTAAACAAGTTTTCAAATTTTAGCTTAATTTTCTCTTATACACTTAATCGGACACCATATCTTGACTGCTTTGAGCTAAACATTAATTAATACACACAGCAATTTACCCCCGAGAGCTAAAGAATTTCTAGAAACTACAACCTCCAAGTAATTTCAAAGTTCTTGGAACATATAGCAAGAAAAAAATAGCAGATTTTACAAATTTACTGCGAGCACAAAAAACCCAATTTTCGAAACCAAAAGCCACAGATTCTAAAACCCAGAATCTCTAAACAGAAAACCCAACAACCCCACAAAAAAAATTGTTGAAAAAAAATCCAAAATTTAATAGTTTTTCGAAGAACGCTCACCAAGCAATGAAATAAGATCAATACGGCAACAGCAACGAGAGAGTCAAGGCCGCCGTCGTACAAAGCCGGGCCATAATTGGTCAAAACGACAGTGTAATATGTGACACCGACGACCCCAAGAACAAGAAGGATCATGACCGAGCCCAGACCTCGCAAAGCTGTGCAGAACTTGAACACGTTCCAAGCCATGGCTACTCCAGATCTATGCATAATATATCACTCAAAATTCAAAAATACCGAAAATTCATAAAGAATGATTCTTTTTCTCTGATCGATCTCGCAGGAGCTGGGTGTGATCTAGGGTTTATGATTCAGCCGGTGGTTTGGAGGCACAAGCTCAAAGAAATGCATAACACAGTGGGAAACAGTAATTTGAAAAACAAGAAATATTTTCTCTACTTTTGTTTGCAATTTTTTCAGATGTTTTGGAAGCGAAATTTAGGGAAGGAAAGGATTTAGAGGTGAGATTCCAGGTGGGGTGTGAAATTGAAATCCACGTTTCGGAGACAAAGATGAGGTTTTTTCTTTTATATATTTCTTCTTTTATTTTGGGCGAGACAAGATGAGCTTTTGACAAAACCAACAAGAAAATAAGACATTTTCTTCTAAAATTTTCCTCCTTTTCTTTTTTTTTTTTTTTTTTTTTCTTTACGTATGGTATGATTTCTTTCTTTTCTTTTTTCTTTTTTTTTTTTTCTTTTTCCTTAGCGTATGGTATGGTTTTTTAATTTTAAAAAACGGGACCCACTGGTGGTGAAGGTGCGGATCGGAAAATTTTAATGAATCATTTTAGTTTCTTCAAGACAATATTGTATGATTCACCATCATCATGAATCAAACTCAATACGTGCTTGAAATTCATCTCCATCCACCGAGGCCACCCCATGATGGTTAACGTATGGTATGGTTTGGATTTAATGGTTTTTATATTTATAATTTTGGTTGATAGAATAGAAATCTTAGGCCAAGATTTTACTGTTTAAAGATTTAGGTTTAGCCTAAGTTGCAATTTAATCTAACAACTATAATCTACTCTTGAGGAGACAACAATAGCTTGGTAATTTGAGCAAAAGTTTTTTTCGTCATTATCCATAAATTTAGAAAGTGGTCATCAGTCTAGGCCACTATTCTAAAAATTGGCTTAAGCGGGGCATCTAGGTGTTGGACGGTGGAGGACCGATGCAATTTAGGCCAAAACATAGAGAAAAATCGGATAGGGGCTAGGCGGATTAGGCGGATTAGGCAATGGCTAGGCGACGTCTCCGCACAGACACGTTCTCTCTATCACTTTCTCTCTTTCTTGCATCCGCTCGTGCCAACTCTAACTCTACCTGCACTGTCCCTTCCAGTTGATGTCGTCTAGACTCTCATGCGCCATCGTCTGGGCTCGTTATACATCATTCTCAAACTTTGTGAGTGGGTTTCCAATTTTTTTTCTTTTTAGATTTTAATCTTTTATTTTCTTCATACTACAATTGAATGGTGTTGAATTCTAGATGTACAATTCCATTTTTATGTATTCAATCATTGAATCATTGACTAATCTGTACGGAAAGATGATGTCAATTTTAGATTATGAATTATTGAATTATTGAATTTGATTTTGTTTAGTCTGTGATGATGCCCATACCATGATGGCTTAAGCTTAACTTTCCCAAATTCTCAATAAAGTATAGGTTTTTTTATACTGTAAATAGCACCTATTTTCATATTATATAATCAATTGAACTAAATCCGCCTAAGCCCCATTTAGTCGCCTAAGCCTGCCACCTGACTAGCGCCTAGCGTCTTTTAAAATCATAGTCTAGAACAAATGATTTTACTCTCTGAATTCACAAGCTTTATTTCCAATTTTAAAATTAATGCATTAATCTCTCTCCTTTCACCCTTTAGTCTAAACTAGTAATAACGATTGAAAAATCAGAAAGCAGCAGACAAAACCTTTGATAGCAAGCAGTGAAAACGATGACAAAGAGACGAAATGTCCACATAATGGCTAACCGGCTCAAGCAGAGAGAGATGCGAAAATGGGAAAGGAAAAAAAATTAGGGTTTCCGAGACAAGCAAAAGGAAAGCCCCAAAATGAGTAAAAATGGCTAGAACAACAAAGAAAAACCTAGAACCAACGAAACAGCTCGAAGCAGGGGACGATAGACGCATAGTTAGTTAGGGCAAAACCGATGATCAACACGTGGAAGACAGGGGCCGAAAAAGCAAAGCAAAACCAAAAAGGAAAATGAACCAGAGACAACATGTGTAAAAATGGTCCAAATGAAATTAAACAAATCAAGCAGGGGAAAAAAAGGGAAGCACACTGTTAATGAATAGTAACTTTTGTGTTGAGTTTTAGTATATGTATAATTTATAGCATTGTATAAAAAAAAATTCATGAATCCTTAATATTTTTGTGTAGGTTTTCATTATTACAATTTGAAAATTCATACTTAATAAGAAATTGACAAGTAGTACAAACTCCTTCACAAAGGATTATTATTATTATTATTATTATTTGTTTTTGTCACAAATAGTCTTTGAAATTGACTCCCACAATCAAGATGGTTCCTGAAGTTGAAAATCAATCAATGTCATCCCTGAAAATAGTTGGTGCAAATCAATGTCGTCCTTCTGTTTGAGTTCCGTTAAAAAATCTGTTACTACGCTGACGTGGTACATTACGGGTTCCCCACTCCAATATTATAATAACATGTCGAATAGAAAAACAAAATTAATTTTTTTAATTAAGCCTTAATTAAATAGAAAAAAACAAAAATGAAAAATGAAAAGAAAACCCGAATCCATTAAACAAAATAAATTTTTTAATTTAACCCTTGCACTTCTCCTACGGTCCTACCGCTCGTCCTCTTCTCGTGTTCATCTTGCCATCAACAAAGACGACGCCATAAAAAATGGAGAGATTCTAGTACTAATACTGTGAGGTTCGGCTTCAGGTTTCCCTCCCTGATTGCGAAAGACAATAAGGGATGATTGCTCAGCGATGGCAACGACGAAGGCAGAGACGAATGAGGGGAAGATGGATGGAGCAGGGGAGATTGGGTTAGGAGTCGGATCCTCCTGGGTGTGTTGGTGGTCGAGAGAACGATGAAGATGACTGCTGTTAGTAGCTAAGCCAGGACTTGACCCGCGGGGGAGGGAGGGGCGAAGTTAAAAGATTGCAAGGTTGAAAAGAATAGCAACAACCAAATCCTTTTATATAGTAATGTCTTCCATAATTTATCAATACAAACAAATTACAATTGTTGCCATCGAGGTTTCATATCATCAAAGCGTCACATAATAGGCTTATTATCAATAAAAGCAAATACATCTCTCTTATTGTAAACAAGCATGCTATCACTCAACCATTGATCTCTCATTTTGTTACGCAATGGTGTTTTCACAATCTTCATGGCAGAAAAAGCTCTCTCCACCGAAACAGTTGCAACCAGTAACACCAAAGTCAATGTAAGAAGTTTATACGCTAACATATAGTTGCACACCTCCCGGTCTTCACCAACTCCTTTGCAAGATCACAAATTCCTCTCAATGAGGAAAACTCACTATGCATCTTCATATCGTGAATGTAATTGTCAAGTTGAATTGGAAGATTCATGAGGTCCATACGATCAAAATCTTGAGGATAAAGTTGGGCTAGACGAACGATTATTGCTTTGCCAAAAGACTCAAAATTATTCACCAGACTCAAAATGATGAATGATCTTTCTTAGTGTCTAAACATTGGTTAATCATTTGAGTGTTCAACTCATAATCTTAAATCCCTATGGTTCTTTAATACCACAAACATTTTGATGGATAAGAATCGTGTTGGTATATTGTGGGATCTGTAGCTCGAGACAATATTCCTTTCAACATTTTATAACTTTTCTAGACTTTTCAGGAGTCCCATTCTAATATGATTAACTCTTGTACAAGATTTAGTATGCTACAACAATATCATAATGATAGTACTCACTAAGGCAATTTATACCATCTCTTGGTGTTGAGTACACAATTTATTCTTTACCCTTCTAGGACTTACCTAAAGTAATTTGAATCCTTCAGGGATTTTCTACACTTTATGACACATTCTTTTTTGGAATTTATAACAATTTACTTCTATGTATACTTGAGGGATTTACTTATGGAGATATGCTTCGGGCATATATATAATTTTCCATTGAGATGAACAAGTTTCATAATGAGAAATCATGTTTCCAAGAGTGTATTACAATTTCAGGTTTCAAATAGGAACCTTGCATCATACCATGTGAATGTAGCTCACTGTTTTACAAATGTCTATATGTAACCTTCTAGGTTCAACATTATTTTTAGACGTTCTTACTAAATTGTAATGGAATTGCCTTTCCATTTTGGCCAATAATTTTTCTTTTCATCGACGAACAAAAAATCGTGACTCAAGATCAACACAACTCATTGATGAATTTAGTAGCTACTGCAAAACCAAAAGTAACATTGGTTGTCATCAATTTATGATCCACAACTCATACTTTGGATATCCTTGCCTCTTTAGGGGCTTTACATTGTCTCTTCTAGGATAGTCATCTCTTAATGAATTGTTTGGAGAATTTGGATCATAACCTCCTCTAGAGCGTTACAGAGCTTGAATTGTTTTTTTAGTCTCCACTTATGTGGAGTTGAATTATTGGACCTATACATCATGCTTTAATTAAGCATGAGATATTATAAAATTGCCATGTTTATGGGTTGTCCTTGTGGGACTTGAATCCATGAGGCGACTATCATGCTTTGGGTATGCAACAATTTAGTAGTACTAAGTCTATGGATTGTCTGGTTGAATTTCAACCCATGCGACATCTTTGTAGCTTGTAATTAATTAGTAATTTTCAAATTTTGGATTACCATTTTGTACATCATGTGAATGACAATTGAAGTCGTTATTGTCCTTGGCTGTTGTAAACTTCAGGTAAAGTTTGTTAGGGTTGTGAGTAGGATTCCCATCATTGAACTTTTGTTTTCTATTCATATAGTTAGCCACCCTTTGAACTTTTATGAGTTCATTGTTTATTCTTCAGCTTCAGCCTCCTGCACAACAGAAATGGTGCGCAACCTTTGTCTTTGAGTGATCCTTCAAAACATCACTTCTCGATGACTCATCCATGGTTGGCAACTTCAGTGTAAAGAGCCAACATCGTACAAACTGTTCCCAGGTGTTGGTGATTTGAAACTTAGCTTCAACAACAATTGAAGATAAACTACTTGAGAGCAATGCAAAATAAGAAATCAGGCAAAAGTTCCGGGCAATCAATTCCAGACCGGAAGTTTGTTTTCAGGTTCGGACTAATTGTTTTCTTTCTCTTTATCTTGCAAGCAAGAACAAGGGCAAAAGAAAAGAAAGGAAACAAGCATGATATAAGATACTTTTACTCTTGACCCTGATGATATGAGGTA